TATAGTGATTTTATAGTGTTTTCTTTGAGTTTTTCTTGAGTTTTTCTTGAGTTTTTATCCTATTTTTATTGTATTTTCCCGGGTTTTTCTTCCTATTTCCTATATTTTATATCCTATATCCTGAGTTATTTTTGAGTTTATACCCTTTGAGTTTATTTCTTTTGAGTTATATTTGAGTCTTCTTTGAGTTTTATTTGAGTTTTATCTTTTGTATATATATATCCTTACCTTCTTCACGTTAAGTTAAGTAGTATAGTTAGCAAGGCCAGCTTTCTATATTACAGTTTTGGTGACAACGACAGGACCTGCAATTCTCTGTATTATTGGCCCTTTCTAATGTTGATTATGCCAATTTGGGGTATTGCCCGTTAAAGCAATAGATAGATATAAATAGTTAGCCGATAGTTATAAATAAATGCACGTTCGTATTATTACGTTTTATCACAACACGGTATTATCCCGATAACATATAATTTTATTATATTAAAGCCAACAACGATATTTTTCTTTTGCGACTATATATTATTGTTACTGCCAAGTAAATAATAGTAAATTATATTAATCTATATAAACATTGTGAAGTAATTAATAATAGTTCTTTGTATATACAAATATAAAATAGTCTTTAAATGCCTAGTAATAGTTTCTTAAGCTTACCGTTACTGCACTTTATGTATACGAATATTATAGGACTTTTGTCTGATTTGCTAATGTAAATCAGGATAACTTATTTATACATCTATCTCTAGCTTCATAAGAGTATGAATATTTATTATGCTAAATAATTGAAAAAAGATCAGGAATCTCATGGACTTTGCTTAGAAGACAAAATATATGTTATTTAGTGGATAGGTCACAGGTTATTGCTATTCCAGATATGAATAGAAAACTTTATATAGCTCTTATTTAATATTAATCAATATTTATTTTAACCAAATAATTCGATATCGACTAATTAGTAGTTCTTTTAGCATGTGAATCCTTCAAATGAAAAAAACGGTTTAATCACTATTTAGAATTTAAGTAACAGTTATCTTCTGCCATCCACATTTAAAATAAAACCTACTTATGCTCAAACACCTAAATTAAATAGATATTTTGAAATTAGTATATTACACAAATAGGGTTGGCCCGGGAATGATAAGATTAATGGTGTTTTTAAATATCTCCCTCAACATAATTGGGACATTCTCAAGTATTAACTTACAGTAGATACAATTTTCCAATAATTAATTACAATTGATAGTGTGTATAATCATCATTTGAACGATCACTAAGCTAGAATTTTGTAAAAAAATTTAAAAAGTATGCCTTATCCTTTTCTAAAAATTTTTAGATCAACAATGAATACTGTGCTAATCTATCTCTATATATACTTACTATAAAATTTTTAACGATCTTAATAGTGAAACTAACCTGATATTCAAGAAATATAATCAAATAATTTACTATAATTGTTCGGCTATATATGTATATTGGTTAGATTAGTAAACCCTATGCATGCAGAGCGATGCCTGTTGCCATTAAAGTTTTGGTAAATAATGTTACTAGATCAGTAATAATGCATAGTTTGATAAAGTAAAACCACAAATGAATAGAATAATAGGCAGAGTGGGCTTAAGAAGTCAATATATTCTCTTTCTAATTAATGATAATCATAATAAAGGTATTACTGATCTTGTTAGGCAGTCATGCACCATGATACTAGTGGTCATATCAACATAAAAAGAGTAATAGTGAAGTCAGAGACAAAAAAAGTCTAGAGTGAACTAAATTGCAAGGAGTTTACCAGGGCGATTCCAAAAGTTCAGATAATATGATCTGAACAATCAACACAACTATATCTTAATGACTAGTATCAGTATATTGCATGCAAGAGCTAGACGATTCAACAATTTTTTAAGAAATTATGCAGTGGCTGTGGCATCTTATCATATGTCCTGGACTTTTGAGGATTGCCCTGCCGAACTTCATTTGTGAGCCGTACTAATATTTTAATATAAATATATCATTTTATAACCAAAGTACATTTTCGAAACAATTAAAAAAAAATGGATGCCTTAAAACGAGCACAAACTGTACCCACTTTTTCAGTTTATCCTGATAAAACCTCTAAAAAGTTTATCTATCATAATTTTTCTGAAGAATCTATGACAATTTCTAATACAATTAATTTGCAAGAAATTATTTCGCCTAAAGAAGATAGAAATCAAATCATTAATTCAATTATCACACCATCCTTACCTCTTGAATCAATACCATCCTTTGAGTCAACATCATCTTTATCTCTTAAATCAGATGCTTTAGCTCAGTCTTCATTCACTAAACCAAAAAACAAAAAAAAACAAAAAAATGTTTTAGTAGAGAATAATGATCAAGAGTCTTCACTTTGGCCAAACACAATTATTAGATCATTGCTTTCTTACTTATCTGATAACATATAACTTTACTGAATGAATAAACAAAAATTTTATTTTAAAGCTGCTTTATATTTTGGTAACAGTAAAACAGGAGATCAAGTTCGTAATAAGATCAGCTCACTTATCAACAAGTATATGGAAGAAAACTCGAACAAAACTGGCAAAGGTGCATCTAATTGGCCTTTTTATACTGAAATGAATGATATATTTAGAAATCGTGAAAACGTAAATCCGGACTATTTGATTAATAGTACAGGTCAGGTAAATATTACCATAAATCTGTAATTCTGTAAAGTATAAATTCCACAAATTAATATGTATCTTGATTTTCATATGAAACTTTATTAAAAATTTGTAATATCATATATAGATTTATCGTAACAACTCACAAAAAGATGATAGTAACGATAAGAATTGCTCTCTAAAATCTAATAAGAAATGACGATTGGATGAAGATGAAATGCACTATATAAAGTCTATTGACATAATCACACAAAGTAAAAAAATTGAGGTTGAAAACAAGCAAAAACTTCTTGAATTAGAAAAAGAAAAACTTGAATTTGAAAAAAAAAATTGGAAACATGAAAAAAATGAAAAAATCGGTTTAGAAAAGTACAAATTAGAACTTGAATATAAATTACAACTAGAATTGAAAACTAGAGAGCTTGAACTTAAATTTAAAAATAAGGCAGTGATGGAAAATAAGTTGTAAAATATAATTATATAGTTTTATTGTTTTTTTTTAATAGTTGTATTTTGATATTATATTTTTATTAAAATTTTTATTATAAAATAAAATTATAGTTATACAAAAGTGATATATTACTATGAGTAAAGGTTCTACAGTATTTATCCGCTGACTTTGAGTATGATTTTAAAGAATTGGCATTTTTAACTACTATCGATCCAATAAATAAAGCTGTCCAAGTATAATTTCTAGTATTACAAATAATTTGATTTATGAAAGCTATGTATTCACCTATAAGGAATAGGTTCTATAAAGCAGTAAGCTTTCATGTCCTAAATTTTTTATATTGTAACACCTGCAAAACATCTGCAAATTCATACATTTTTGTGGCAGCGAATCATTACTTTATAAGATTTTCTTATAATAAGATAATCTACAAAATCGGCCAATCATAATTAAAGCCCGTTACAAATAATTTTTAATAGGTTTTGTTGTTTAATTTTTGCATTATTTCTACTTATTAAATCTTCATCTTCATCGAATTCATAAATTAATTCAGAATCATCAATTTCATCATTATTATCATTTTCTTTCCATTTATCATTATTTTTTTCTACGAAATTATGTAAAATCAAAGCAATATCAATTATATCCATTCTCTTTACTGTATCTTTTAATCTTATATATTTTAAAAAAGGAAACCTGGCTTTTAATTTACCAAATGCTTGCTCAATAACGACTCTTGTTTTACTATGATAAGTATTATAATATTTTTGTTGTTGCGCATTTGAACCTTGTGGATCTTTAAAAGGTGTCATTATCCATGGTAATAAGGGATATGCAGAATCACCTAATAAATAATCTTCATTTTTAATAAAAAGATTATTATTTATATATATATATGAGTGTTTAAATACTTTTGCATCGTGAACTGATGCAGGCCAACCGATTTTATAACAAGTAAAATATTCTTTATGATCAATGATAGCTTGTAGATGAATACTATATCGATGTTTATGAGATATATATATATCTTTATTAATTTTACTTGGTGCTTCTATTAAAGGTATATGAGAACCGTCAATTGCTCCAATTACCATTAGAAATCCAAACTTTTCAAACCCTTCATGTACTTCTTTTCGATAATTTTCTCAAGGCCAAACAATATATTCATCTTTTAAAAATCATATAGCAATAATCAATTGATCTAAAAAGTTAAGAATTGTTTGTTTACATTTTCCAAATAAAATCACAATAGTCTAAAGAGAAGCATTTGATCCAAGTCGATATAATACAACTGCAAGTTGTATAGTAATATTTGTTTGATTGTTATTAGAATTTGAATAAAAAACTGGATGAAATTTAATTTTATCAACTAACATCCAAAAGGTTGGTTTATCTATTCTTAATGTTTTTCTAAACTCTTTATCTCTATAATTAAATAAACAATTTTGAACCCAATCATATGATTTAGGAATTTTATTATAATTAATTTTCGAATTTAAAATTTTATAGTAAAGTGCTAAATATTCATCAAATTCAGTATTTTGATCGATATTCATCGATATTCATTGTGTTTTGATCATCATTCAATTCAGCAATTTTAACAAGATTGATAATATTTTTTAATTGATCTTTTTTAGATGCTATAATGATAGTAATAATAAAATTATAAGATTTTAATTAAAAAGGTAATGCAATAAATGATATGGTATTAAAATGTTTAAAGTAAATAGGCAATGTAATAACAACACGATAGTTAAAATTTCAAGAAGCAATGTAATAACACGATGGTTAAAAATTTTAAACAGGTAATGCAATATGTTAAAATTATTTGAACTTCGATCAAGTTCTGAATACCCTTATTTATATATTTAAAATTTTAATAATTATACTTGATACTATATTATTATGCAAGTATGCTAATTCATACTTCGATCTCATGATTACATGTTCGTATAATAATTAACATAGTTGTTGTATATACAATTACATAATATTGCATCATTAATTTATTTTACAAAAGATTTAATTTGTTTCTATCTTCAAATTAGTATGAATATACATACATATGATCAAATTTATTGCTGCATGTTAACAATTACATTGTCTTAGGCAATATTTTTGCAAATTAAAAAGGATTATGAGATAATAAAGCCCATTTACTTCTGATCGAAAGTGTCATTTAATGGTTTATATGGAGACAAACAGACATGTACATGATAAATATTATATCATATATAAGTGTTGCCTAAAGAAAATACATTTAAATATAGCCTATATTTAAATATGCATGTTCTTTTGGCGGCACTCATATATATATAAATAACTGTTGTAAAGATTATTAAACAAGTTTTATTTACAGGACAAATATATATTTCTAGCATAACGATAAGTTTTTATTAAAGAAATAGGCCCGCATTCTTATATAATCTTGAATCCTAATAACTAATAGTGAAAATGTTGTTATTTTGAGTTGATGCTTCGCTAGAATAGTATTATCTCAAAGTTTTATCAGGAACAAGTTGTTTCAAAGTACCAAAAATTAAGTTTGCTTCTAGGATCATTATACTAATATTCTTTGTAAAGTACAATATATTGAGGTAGCATATTTCCTATAAGCTTTTTTTTTTCTTGAGACATAAGACCAATAATTATTATTGATTTAAAGATCAGATTGGTGGTTATTCTCTTGGAAATTTACAGAGAAGCTAAAGATATATCATGTTAATAATTAATGATAGCAAAGCATTGTAGTTCTGTGCAAGTCAAAATTCCAAGAACAATTAAATTTGAGATCATAGATGTCTTATCTATTTGAATTAAACTTTATACTCATACTGGTAATTTATTGAATTATTGAATAATTACTGTTAACCTTTATTTTATTAAAATATCAACTTTAAAATAAATAGAATTAAACTTATACTCACACTAGTAATTTATTAGTGATTGAATGATTAAGATTAACCCTCTATATTCTTGAAATATCAATGCTAAAATGAATAAAATTAAATGATTGATAAACAGTCAAATAGCTAAATGACAGTCAAAACTAATTAATGATTAATAAACAGTTGAAACAATTAAACAGTCAATAAACAGTTAAACAATTAAATGATTATTAATCATGTATCTTATAGTTAAGCGATGCATTAAGCATTAAAATAATTTTCACGATTTCAAACCTTACAGATTGAAGTATTCATTTTTTTAACCAAGTGAATATATAATTTACAGGACAATTTTATGTATATTTTACAAATTTATGAGGCTTAAATATACATTTTGGTTAGTTATCTGATTGATCTTTATAATAATAGCTTGTCAAATTTTTTTAATTAATATTATTTCTGAAATATATATTCAAGGAATTCATGACAAAAAGTAAAGATTGATATTTTTCATGGTGCATGTAAGTCATTCATTGTTTAGTAGAAATTCAAACAACACATGTCGACTCTGAATTAACAAAAACCAATGAACAACATGTAACAATTTTACATTCTTAAATATAATAAGATTAAACTCCCACTCTTGTGTTTGTACATATAAAAAAATATAAAGAACTGTTAGCAATTTCTTAAAGATATTTAGAAAACTAATATATATGGCAGATACATAATTCGTTCACTAAACAAAACATTTAAATATTAAAAAAATGGCCATAGTACAAAATTTACTAATATAACTGCTTTCAGTTCTTAAAAAAAAGCTCAGAACCAGAACGTGCATACATATGTACTAACCGGTGATAAAGAAATTTTATTCGTGACTTCAATGTGACAAAATTATACATGACCTGGATAATACCATGTTGTGATAAAATGTAATAATATGAACATGTATTTATTTATAACTATCGGCTAACTATTTATATCTATCTATTGCTTTAACGGGCAATACCCAAAATTGGCATAATCAACATTAGAAAGAGCCATTGTGATAAATCCTTCCTATACAAGTTATACTCTTCTTATTTTTCTTTTATTTTCTTCTTTCTTTCTTCTTTCTTTCTTTCTTTCTTGCTTCTTTCTTGCTTCTTGCTCTTTCTTCTTTCTTATAATTTTTTTTCTTCTCTTATTCATTTATTTTTAACCCTTGCGTAATTTGGTCTTCACCAATCATCTTATTATTACACAAGGTACTCTTGTGCTATCTTAAAAACAATTATTTTATTTTTTTTTACATTCCCCTCATATTAACTAGAACACCTAGTGATTTAAGCCGTAAGGTTTTAGTCGGCTGGCTAAGCCAGCTGACAAAAATAATCGGCTGGCTAACAGCTGACAAACACCTTACTTCTGGGAAATTTTAGTAAACTTAGCTCATCCTTGCTTGTATTTCATTTTCCTTTTCAGAATTTACTAGAATCCTACTATTACACTCAAACCACCTCTTAATCAGTTCAATGCAATTGGGGTTTGATAATAAGTGAATGCTTGGCTCTCAACCTTCAAGTTGACTAACTCAAGCTTCTAACTAGAGGCTTTAATTAAGTGATTTGGGTTTCAAAAGAGGCAAACGGCTAATGTACAGTATATAAAAATACAAGAAGTCATTCAAAGATTAAACTCAAGATGCATGATCATGAAATCTCTTTACATCAATTACGTGGTTACGATCATTAAATTTCTTAATGGTCTAAATAATTTTATGACTTGTATATAAAGATACAGGTATTGTTTTTATTTAGATAAGTCAGGAATCGAACAATATTTTATTGAAGCATGAAAGTAAGTCTTTAAATATATTTTTGATATGTATAATTAATTAAGACTACTTTACTGTCAGTCTTATTTTTATCCGTTTCTGCTTAGGGAGCTTCCACTTATTAGGTAAATATACCCCCCCTCAGACCCAGGTAACTGGAACCTAACGGCTCAAAAATCTAGGGATTCGGAACCTCCTAACCCCTTAAAACTGTTAAACTTTAATTAACAGTTATATTTCTCTTAAAATTATGAAACCCCCTAACCCCTTAAAACCGTTAACCTTTCGTTAACGGTTATATTACTCTTAAAATTATGACATAATAACAGCCCCATATGCA